ACTGTCTGATTTCTTCTTTAATTTCCTCTGTGACCCATTGGTTATTCAGAAGTGTGTTTTTCAATTTCCATATGTTTATGAAATTCTTGTTGTTTCTTTTGCTGTTGATCTTCAATTTCATTGCACTGTGTTCTGCTAATATACAGGGGATAACTTCAATTCCTTTGCACTTACTTAAACATGTTCTATGAGCGAGTATGTGGTCTATTTTGGAGAATGACCCATGGGCAGCTGAAAAGAATGTGTATTCTTATTTTGTGAGGTGGAACACTGTAAACATCTGTTAAGTTCATTTGTTCAAGAATTTGATTGAGTGCCAGAATTTCATTGCTTATCTTTTGTCTAGTTGATCTATCTCTTTGTAACAGTGGGCTATTGAGGTCCCCCACTACTATTGTATTAGTGCTTATTTGATTTTTCATGTCCATTAGTATTTGTTTTATATAGTTTGGTGCACTAGTGTTTGGTGCATAAATGTTTATGATTGTCATCTCTTCCTCTTGGATTGTTCCCTTTAGAAGGATGCAGTGTCCTTTGTCTCTCTCTCTCTTTTTTTTTTTTTTGGTACCGGGGATCGAATTTGAGTCCTTGCTCTTGTGCAGCAGGCAGCGAAACCACTAAGCTAAATCCCCGGGCCTCCTTTGTCTCTCTTAATGAGTGTTGGTTTGAAAGCCACTTGATCTGTAAAAAGGATAGCTACTTGTGCTTTTTTTTCTGGTTCCTGTAGCATGGAGTATTGTTTTCTACCCTTTAACTTTCAGTCTGTGAGTTTCTTTTTGAATTAAGTGTGTTTCTTGTATGCAGCATATTGTTGGATCTTGCTTCTTGACTCATTCTTCCAGTCTCTTTCTTTTGATTGGTGAATTGAGATCATTAATATTGATGGTTATAACTATATGTATTAACTTATCCTTGTCATGACTTTTCCTTTTTGTTGGATTCTCCCCCTTTGTGTTTAATTTCTTGTTGTGCCCGACAGATTCATTCTGCTGGGCTTTCTGGGGTTGTCATTCTCGTTGTCTTTTTCTAGGATATTGTCTAAAATTTTTTTGAGTGCTGGTTTGATATTCATGAAGTTCCTAAGGTGCTCTTTATCATGAAAGTATCTTATTTCTCCATCAGTTTTTTTTTTGTACCAGGAATCGAACTCAGGTCCTTGAGCTTGTGGGGCAGATGGCGAAACCACTGAGCTAAATCCCCAGCCCTCTCCATCAATTTTGAAGGATAGTTTTGCAGGGTACATCAATCTGGGTTGGAGGCTCTTTTCCTTTAGGGCTTAAAATACATCACTCTTCTTGAGTGGTCATCTCTTCTCTTGAGTGATACATCACTCTTCTAAAATACATGTCTCTTCTTGCCTTGAGGGTTTGCATTACGAAGTCTGCTGTGATTCTGATAGGCTTTCCTTTGCATGTGATTTGTTTCTTTTCTCTCACTGCTTGTAGAATTTTATTTTTCTGTTGGGTTTCTGGAATGTTAAGTATTATATGCCTATGTGTAGATTTTTTTTGATCAAGGCTTGTTGGAGTTCTATATGCCTCACTTATCTGTATGTTAAGTTCTTTTCCCCTCCTTGGGAAGTTTTCTGCCATCACTTCTGTGAACAGTTTTTTTTATGTCATCTGCACTCTCTCCTGCTTCTTCCTTGACTCCGATCAGTCTTATGTTATTCTTCTTTGTGTCGTCTGGCAGCTGCTGGATTGATTTCTCATGGTCCCTTACTATTTGAAAGAAATTTTTCTTTTCCTGGTCACTAATTGCAATCTTTTCTTCTATATCTGAAATTCTGTCGTCACATTGGCTCACTGTGCTGTGTAAACATTCAATGGAGTTTTTAATCTCTTGGAAATCTGTTTGCATCTGTTTTATGGATTCCATTTGTTTCCTATGTTGGAATTCCATGATGTTCCTCAGCTCTATTTTTTTTATCTGTGTCCTCTTTAGATTTATTAATCATGTCTTGTACTATGGGCCCAATCTCTGCTGTTATCTGAGGAATTATTTCTGATTTCATTTTTTCTAGATCCTCTTTTGTTGCCAGTTCAGGAAGTCCAGGTGGTTGAGTATCAGATTGTTCCCTCTTGTTTCTCTTTGGGGTTGCTTTAGGTGATCTGGAAGTCTGTTTCTGAGACTTGTTTTCATGTCTTCTCATTTCAGCAAGGGTTGGGGGGTGGGGGGGTGTGTGTGGTGCTCATGCCCGTGCGACTCACCTTCTCCTTGGTGCTGGGGGTGGTGATACGGCAGCCCAGAAGACTCCTCCTCAGCGCTGGGGTCGGCTCTGCTCCTTGGTTCTGGGGGTGGTGTTACGGTGGCCCGGAAGGCTCACCTTCTCCTCCTCAGCAATCGTGACAGCTCTGCTGTTTGGCACTGGGGGCAGTGGTATGGCAGCCTGGAAGGCTCCTCCTCAGTACTGGGGGCAGCTCTGACTTCAGTACTGGGGGTGGTCGTATGGCGACTGGAAGGTTTACCTCCTCTGTGCTAGGGGCGGCTTTGATCCTCAGCGCTGGGGCTCATGGTATGGCAGCCTGGAAGCTTCATCTCCTTTGTGCTGGGGCTGGCACCTTGGTGCTCCTGAATTCTTGATGTGCCTTATAAGTGAACATACTGGTGATGCACATCTGTAATCCCAGCACTCTGGATGCAGAGACAGGAGGCACAGGTGGAGTCCAGCCTAGGCAACTTAGGGAGATGTTGACTTTTTTTGGTACTGAGGATTGAACTTGGGACCTTGTGCTTGCAAGGCAGGCAGTGGCACCACTGAGCTAAATCCCTGGCCCAGGAGATGTTGACTTTTAAAAAGGGGTTGAGATGTAGCTCAGTGTGAAGGCCCAGAGTTCAATCTGCAGTATGAAGGAAAAAAAAAAGAAAATACTAGGTTATCAATGTATTACATCTTCTCCTGTGTTTGCTTGTATTAGGGAGTAATATAATTTTCCTCCTTGAGTTATTTTTGCAAATATCCCAATTTTAAGATTTTTTTTTACCTGTTATTAAAAATGGTAATTGTTCTGAATTCTCAGAAAAACCTTTTCTTCTTTTTTAAGTGATACTCCCTACAGGAGCTCATTATACTGTTTTATGTTCTTTATTACACATAGCACTTAATTGTATTTTGTATTTTTCTTACCTGTTCTAGAATGTAAACTGCCTAAAGATAAAGATTATCCATCTTCTGGGCTGAGAATTTAGCTCAGAGATGCCGTCGCCTGCCTCACAAGCGCAAGGTCCTGAGTTCAATCCCTGGTACCAAAAAAAAAAAAGATTATTCATCTTCTTAAATTCACATGCCACAATGAGTAGCACATAGTAGGAACACAAATAATTTTTTTGTGTTTTGTTGAGACAAGGTCTTGATTATGTAATTCAGGCTGGTATTCACCTCACTATGTAGCCCTGGCTTACCTCAAGCTCATGGCAATCCTCTTGTCTCAGCCTCCCAAATGCTAGGATTCCAGGCATGCACCATGATACCCAGCTCATTAAGAAATTTTTGTAGAAAAAAGCAATAATATAGTTTCTTAAACTAAATTTTTAAGTTTCAAGTTGTTTTCCCCAAATGAAGGGTTTTGATCAGCAAATCTATGTTGGCCGATCCCCAGTCTTTACCAGTTTACAGACTTGTAACCTATCTTTGTTATTCTGTTATTCTTTTTTTTGGTACTGGGGATTGAACTCGGGACCTTGCGCTTGCAAGGCAGGCAGTGGAACCACTGAGCTAAATCCCCGGCCCCAAGTTACTCTGTTATTCATTATTTTGTTTTTTTGCTGTTGTTGTTGGTTTTTTATTTTGTTTTGTTTTTGTTTGTGAGACAAAGTCTCACTTATGCAATTCAGGCTGGCTTTGAACTTATTATGTAGCTGTGGCTTGCCTTGAGCTCATGGTAATCTTCCTGCCTCAGCCTCCTAAGTGCTGGGATTGATAACAGGCACGTACCACCACGCCTGGCTAGTTTTCTTTCTTTTATTCATTTATTAGTGCTTTTTGTGTGTGTGTGATGCTGGGACTTGAACCCAAGGCCTCACTTATACTAGGCAAGTGCTCTACCAGTGAGCTGCATCCTTACACCTTGATCTGTTTTCTTGAAATAACCTTTCTCATCATGCACTACACATTTACTTGACATCTGCAGTGATCACCTGTTTCCCTTTTTGATTTGTAATTGTAATGCATAAGCTTCTTTATGCATCATTTATGTTATTTTTCTGCATATATACATGTATTTGCAGTTTATATGCTGCCTATTTTCTCATTTAACTTCAGAATATTATTTTCTTTGTATTACCAATGTTTGCATTCCCTCATTCAGTAAAGCCTGCTATTTACTGAAGATCTGTGGGGTATTCTGTTCCATCTTCTGAATAATTTATTAAAATATTGCTTAGAACTGGTTTCTTTTTCTAATATGTAGACATCTCACTAGTTTTACTCTTGGATTCATAGCAGTACCCATTTACCTTACCTTCTGTTTATTGTCTCTGTTTGTCAATCTAGAACAAAAATAGCTTCTTTTATCCGTGTTGAGTCAATTTTTAATCGTATGTATGTAAGTGTGGATTCTAGCTAACAGAATCCTCTGAGTCTAGACTGCATTTAGTAGTCTTTCATCCTAAACAGCTTTCCTTTAAAAAACTAGAATAACATGTGTTGCTGTCTTTTTATAGTTATTAGTACTGTTTGGGAGTTACTAATCCTGTCTTTATTTATGGAAACAACTAGTTGGCCAGCTGTACAAGTCAAATAGCTATGAAACCTTTCTTTTTTTTTTTTTTTTTGGTACCGGGGATCGAACTTGAGTCCTTACGCTTGTGCAGCAGGTGGTGAAACCACTGAGCTAAATCCCTGCCCTATGAAACCTTTCTTAAAGATATGGATGTTGGTGACAGTCCACACACATCTTCTAGCAGAGTAGCCAGGTTCTACAACTGCATCATTGAATTTCTTAAATACTCTTTAAGAAATATGTGTAAATTCAATTTTTAATAGTTATGGTATGTCCTGTATATCTGATGGAACAGTTATATTCCATTTTCTGTAAGAGAATAGGAATCTTTTTATCATCCTCTTTAAAGACAAATCCATTCAATATTTTCACTCTTTTACATCATGAAAAAATATCTTTAACTGTTATTCCCTAACTAGGTCATGATACATACGTCTAATAAAAGGCTGATGAGCGAACAAATGGCAGAATATTCTAAGATTGTATCTTCTGAAAGACTTTTAAGTGAAAAAGGCACTTAAGTGAGACCATCTTAAAGAGCTGGAACTGACACATAATCTCCAGAAATGGGTACTGTTACATAATATATGATAGGAAAAGATTGTTTAGAGATTCAAGATAGCCTTCTGTATTTGTCTTTGCTCTTGGCTGGAAATGTAATATTTTCCTTTACATGTTCGTAGGAGAATGAAGATTTAGACTGGAATTTACTGAAACCAGATATTTATGCAACAATTATGGACTTTTTTGCATCTGGCTTACCCCTAGTTACTGAGGAAACATCTTCAGGAGAAGCAGGTAAGTATTTCTCTTTTTTTAGACTTTTCTACTTTCTTCACATTTGCCTTGATTTCAGAAGTGATCTCTCTCTCTCTCTCTTTCTCTCTCTCTTTTTTTGGTATCGGGGATCAAACTCGGGACCTTGCACTTGTGAGGCAGGCAGCGGAACCACTGAGCTAAATCCCCGGCCCCGACTCTCTCTGTCTTTTTACTGTAGATTGAACACCAGGTCTTCACACTGAGCTACGTTTCCTGCCCTTTTTATTTTTTTTATTTTGAGACAGGGTCTAAATTGCTTATAGGCTAGACTTGAACTTGCAATTGTCCTGCCTCAGTCTCCCAGGGTGCTAGGATTATAGTTGTGTGCCATCATGCCCAACTTCTTTTACATTTTTAAAATCAATATGCTAGGAATAAAATGGTGTCTTATTTTAATTGCATTTCCTTAATACCAACACTGAAGGTTTTCACATGTTTACTGACCATTTAGTTTCCTTGTCACTAAATTTCCTGTTCATATTCTTTGCTAATTTTTTAAAAATTGGGTCATATGGGCTGGGGATTTAGCTCAGTGGTTCTGCCTCCTGCCTCGCAAGCACGAGGTCCCGAGTTCAATCCCTGGCACACCCCCCCCCCCCAAAATTGGGTCATATGTCTTTAAAATTGATTTGAGAATTTTTTTTTTTTTGGTACTGGGGATTGAACTCTGGTCCTTGCCTTTGCGGGGAGAATGTTTTTAAAAAATATTCTGGTATTCATCCTTTGTTAAGTTTATTTATAATGTATAAATTCTTGCTAACCATTGCTAGGACCTGGGGATTATCTCAGTGGCAGAGACTATGCTTAGCATATGTGAGGCACTGGGTTCATTTCCTAGCAGCACAAAAAAAGATAATAAAAAGACATTAAAAGCATAGTGAAAAAGATAAACCATGTTTTTGTTTTAGTTTTCTGCACTAGAGATCTAACCCAGGACCTTATTCATACATGTACTTTATCACTGAGCTACATTCTCGGGCCCTACATATTTTCTTGATGGATATATACATTAAAATGATGCCTTTTTTTTTTTTTTTTTGGTACCAGGGATCAAACTCAGGACCTTGCGCTTGTGAGGCAGGAGGCAGCACCACTGAATTAAATCTCTGGCCTCTAAAATGGTACCCTTTTTTAGAGCAATTTGAATAAATTTGTATAAAAATACGCAGGCCTCTGTGGGGATGGGGCTGTTAGGCTCAGTGATATAGCTAGTGCAAGGCCCTGGGTTTGATCTACAGCACCTCAAAAATAAACAAAAACCCATAATCCTACCACTTAGAATTTATCTCATGGATGTATTTGTAAAAGTACACCAATAAATATTTATATAAACAAAATGCTGTGTTTGTTAAAAAATAGCTGCAAACTGTAAATGCCTAAAATAATGAAGAACTGACAAAGACAAACCTATACCTATTTTAAAAATAGAGGCATATTTTTAAATGCTGATATGGAAAGACTTTCAAGATATATTAAAAGCAAATTATAGAATAGTGTATATAGTATGATCTCATCTGTGTAAACTCACCCATATAAATGTAAACATGTCTTAGAAGGATATCCACTGAACTCATGATAGTAGTTGTCCGTGAAAGAAGTGGTGGGGAATAGGACTTAGGTTTGTTGATGTAAGAGACTTTTAACTTTATTGTGTTTATTTTTTTTATTAAAAAGGGCCCAAAGCGAATATTTAATATTAATAGTATTTATGGAGTCACCAGTGATGTAGTGTTTGTTACAGTGTAATAATATGGGTTCTCAGCATTTTGGGGTTTTCCTCAGGTAAGTAAATTTTTCAAAAAAGATAAAATGCTTATAGAAAGACATAGGTAAAGATTAGTGTATAACTTTACACAAGTAAAGCGAAAACTATAATGAAGCAAAATGAAAAACCATCTTTTTGTTCAGATTTATAGAATATGTCAGAAATTTCCAGAAAGCTTGCATCAGTATTTAGTATGGTTATTTTTTTGAAAATCACTAAATTGAGAAACTGAAGATATAACTTGAAAAGTAGGCATGCCTCCTTACCTCAAAATTTCCATTAAAATTCAGATAACCTATTTGCTGTGCCACTTTTCAATTCTTGAGAATGATAAAAATTTACAAATTTTGTAGCCAGAAATTTCAAGCCTTGACAGGATTAGCAAATTAAGATATTTCAGTTTGCTTGCGTTTATCACCAAATGTTGAGTTGATCAATATTCCTTAGTTTTTCTTTAGAGAACTAAATGAAGGATTCTGTTTTCCCCACATCAACTCTGTCACATTCTATATATTCTATACATTTTTAATGAGCCATGAAATTGAAACCATCCTATTCTATCACTTGTACTCACAAGAATACTGAATTTCTGCTATTGATTTATAATTGTTTCTAGCTTCTGAAGAAGATGATGAAGTTGTGGCAATGATTAAGGAATTATTAGACACTAGAATACGGTATGTACTCCTCTCCACCTGAAATCAAATGCCGAAGAGGCAGTTTTCATCATAGAAATATACTTGTAGTTGTCCATGAGACAATAGTAGAATTCCAAAGTAAGTACAAGTTCATGTAAACAACAGTAGGTAATTATAGCAATTGAAATTAAAGCCTGTATATGTAATGACAATGTGTTCTAACTTGAAAACCACTGAGAATAGATTTTTAAGTATTCTTACCACAAAATTATGTATGTGAGCCATATGTTATTTAGCTTGATTTAGGTATTCTTCACCATCTATATATTTTAAAACATAATGTTGTACATGATAAATATATATGATTTTTATTTATGGATTAAAAAAAAATTTTTTTGAGGCAGGGTCTCACTATGTAGTTCAGGCTGGCCTTGAACTCACTATGTAGAACAGGCTAACCTCAAACTCTCAGCAATCCTCCTGCCTCAGCCTTCCAAGTTCTGGGATTACAGATGTGCGCTGCCATACCCAGCTGGATTTAAAATAATTAATTTGGCCTGGGGATTTAGCTCAGTGGCACCACACCTGCCTCGAAAGCTCAAGGTCCTGAGTTCAATCCCCGGTACCAAGAAAAAAAAAATTAAGCAAAAGAAAATTAAGCCTAACACTCAGAGGTTCTCCCCATAAGGAACTTGCTTAATTTTTGCTGTGTACAGAGGAGGCTGAGAAATCAAACAAAAAGCAGTTGAAAAACAGCAGAATTTTGGCAGTCTTATATTGCTGGAATGGGGACAAAAATTGGAATTTAGGATCTGTCCAGGATTCTGGACCTCAAGAAACATCCTGGCTCTTGATTGGACTTTTTTTAGAGAACTATACCCTTGAAATGAGGCAAACAAGAAACAGACCATTCTTTCAGAACTGAAGTCAAATATCAAGTCAGCTTAATTCCAGAGTAGACTGACCTGTTGCTGGAAGATAAGACAAATCCTTTCTGATGTACTATAGTCTGGAGTCCTGCCTGGGCAATTTAGTCCCTGTCTCAAAATAAAAATTTTTAAAGTGTTAAGGATGTTGCTCAGTGGCAGAGTGCTTGCCTAGTATCACGTTCTGGGTTCAATCCCTAGTACTGCAAAAAAAGAAGAAAAAAAAGAAGAAGAAGAAGATAGATGAAAAGATGGAGAATTTAATCAGAGAACTGGATTCTATAAGAAATACTAATTCTGCAAATAAAAATACAACAAAATTTAAGAATTCCTTAGAGTCAGGTATAGTGGTACACACCTTTAATCCTTTAATACCAGAACTTGGGAGGCTAAGGCAAGAGGATCACAAGTTCAAGTCCTGCCTGGGGAACTTACCAAGATGGCATTATAAATCCAGATATCTGCGTAGTTACATTTAAATGTACATAGGTGGATTAACAACAAAAAAAGAGCTATCAGACTAGATGTGAAAAAACCAACTATGTACTGGTTATAAGAGACCTCACCCTAAATATAAGGGCTATAAAAAAAAAAGATGGAGAATCTATAGTATTCAAAAAATAAGTAAGAAAAGGTTAATGCAGTTATACAGGTACCTGACAACTGTGCCTTACAGCTAAAGACATTACTAGAAATAAAAAGAGATCTTTTGACAGGGCATTGTGGTGCATGCCTATAATCTCAGCTGCTCAGGAGGCTAAGGCAGGAGGATCTCAAAGTCAAGACCAGTCTGGGCAATTTGGTGAGACCTTGTTTCAAAATAAAACAAAAAGGGCCAGGGATGTAGCTTACCTCTAGAGTGCTTGTTTAGCATGCATGAGGTCCTGAATTCAATCCCTAGTACTGCCAAAGAGAGAGAATGATTTTTCATATTAATAAAAGGATAATTTCTACCAGGAATATATATAATCTAAAATATATGTATCTAATAACATAGATCCAAAGTAAATGCAGGATATTTGACAACATTAAAAGTAGACATAGATAATCCACCATTATGGTGAGAAACTGACACTTCTCTCTCAAATAGAACAAACATAAAATAACCAATAAAGGTACAAGAGTTTTGAACACATAATTAACTAAATTATTGACATATGGAAAATTGCACTCAAGAAAAAATATTTATTCAATAGTACATGGAATGTACTAAAACAAACTATATGATGAATCATAAAGCAACCCTTAACATATTTCAAGGATTGAAATCATAGAGAATATTGGATTTCCATGCTGGGAATTAATCCAGGGACTCTCACAAGCTAATAAACACATGCTGTCCACAAATATTATTTCTGACTACAGTGTGATTAAGCTAGACCTCAGTTACTAAAAGGTAACTACAAAATCTCTGTATATTTGGAAACTAAGCAGCATTCTTCAGAAAGACCTATGGATTGGACTAGGAGTATATCTCAGCGGTAGAGCACTTGCCTAGCATGCACAGGGCACTGGGTTTGGTTTCCAGGGTTGAAAAAATAAAACAACAAAAACCTGTGGGTCACCAAAAAAATCATGAAGGACATTTAAAACAGGGTAATAGCTGCCTGATCTTTGGGTAAGCAAGTTTTTTTTGTATTGTTTTTTTTTCACTAGGACATAAGCAAACAGGTCAAAATCAGATGAGTGTGATAGTCCACACATGTAATCCACATCTCAGAGGCTGAGGAAGGAGGATTGTGAGTTCAAGGCCAGCCTGGGCTATATAGCGTCAAGGCTAGCCTAGACTACATAGTGAGATCTTGTCTCTACAAATATAAAATGGAAGAACAAAACATAAAAATCAAGGAAAAGACATGTAAATTGACTACATAAAATTGACTTTCTCTTCAGAAGATGCTTGCCATTTGTAGTGATAAGGCAAAACAGAGTAGAAGCTACTGTATTTATAGTATTTGTTTGCGCAAATACATATAAGAACTGCAAATTGGCAAGAAAAAAGAAGCATTTCACAAGACAATAGCCAAATGGCCAGTAAGCATATGAAAAAAGTGCTCAACCTTCTTAGTCTTCATGAATATTTGAATTAAACCACAATGAAATATCACAAATCCACTAGAATGTATAAAATGATTGACAACACCAGTGGCTGAGGATGTGGAATGTAAATTTATGGAACTTTGAAAAAGTATTTGGGTGTGTCTACTAAATCTAAACATATTTATATTTATCATCCATCAGTTTCTCTGGATCAAGACATATATAAAAATCGCCATAGCTACACTGTCCGTCAAAGCCCAAAATTAGTATTAACCCAAATGACTATCAACAGTAGAATATGTAAAAAATTCTGGAATATGAAATTAATGGAATACTATACAGCAATGAGGTTGAGTGAACTGTTACTATACTCAGTCTGAATGAATCTCACAAAGAGCAGAAGAAACCAAATACAAAAGAGTAAATACTGTATAATTTTAAAATAAAATTTATATTTATAAATTTAGAAGGTTCAAAACAAGCAAAGCTAATTACTGGCAATAAAAATTAAGATAGTGGTTGCATTTGATTGTCAGACTTCTAGAATGGTAGTGTACTGTCTCTTGATCTGGGTGGTAGTCATAAACATGATAGCTGTGTGAAAATTAATTGAACTGTAAATATATGATTTATTTTCTGTATTAATGCTGTATTTCAGTGAAAAATTTGCCTTAAAAAAGGAAAAAGAAAAGCTAGCATTTGACATTTTCCCTCTCCCTTTGTCAAAATATGTGAATAAATATACCTTAGGTTGTTACACTAATTATTAGGAAATCGGAAATTTTAAATACTCAAAGAGATTATTAAACAGGATGAAATGTAACAAGTAAATTTGGGGAGAGTTTGAGACAGGGTCTTGCTATGTACTTCAGACAAGATCAGGCGCATTTAGGGTGGTATGGCCATAAACTTGCTATGTAGTTCAGACTAGCCTTGCACTCACAAAGTAGCCCAGGCTGGCCTCAAACTCACGGCAATGATCCTCCTGCCTCAGCCTCCTGAGTGCTGGGATTACAGGTGTGAGCCATCATGCCTGACAACAAGTGAATATTTCTATGACTAAGTTTTGGCATGTTATTTGAAAGTTTAAAAAATTGAAATTGCTAATAAGACTTAGCCACAGTTGTTCTATATTTTAAAAATAGTTCTAACTTTGTGAATTTACTAATACAAAAATCTAAGCTCTGCATGTGGTGGTGCACACCTATAATCCCAGCTACTGTGGAGGCTGAGGCAGGAGGGTCACAGTTTCAAGGCCAGCCTGGCCAACCTATTGAGACCCTGTCTCAGAATTTTAAAAGGGGCAAGGGATGTAGCTCAGTGGTAGAGTGCCCCTGGGTTCAGTCCCTAGTGTGGAGAAGGGGGGGATCTGAACTCTGAGGAATATTACATTTTTTCAATAAAAACTTCTCTTTTTTCAAATGTACCACAAATATTTGTGACCACAGGCCGACTGTACAGGAAGATGGAGGAGATGTAATCTATAAAGGCTTTGAAGATGGCATAGTACAACTGAAACTCCAAGGTTCTTGTACCAGCTGCCCCAGTTCAATCATTACTCTGAAGAATGGGATTCAGAACATGCTGCAGTTTTATATTCCAGAAGTGGAAGGTGTAGAGCAGGTAAGCCAATATTTGTACAGTTTAGATTTAATATGAAAAGAAATTCATGACCTGACCTTTTGTCCAAAGACAAGATCTTTGTGTTGGAATTTTTATCAGATTAGAAGCCTCCTTATTTTAGCAGTAACTTCAGTGTTATGAATGCCTACTATGTACCAGACATTTTTACAACTATTGCCGCATTTAATCTAGTAATGCAGTGCACTAAATCATTCCCAATTTGTACATAAGGAAACTGATACTTATAGAGGGTATACTGCTGCTCTGATTGTAGAGAAATTATGAAAGAGAAATTCAAATTATGCAATATTTTGACAAATTCTAGAAGTTTTTAGTGGAAGAGCACTACTGCATTATCAACCTCTTGTTTATCTCTCCTTCTCCCTCCCTCTCTCCCTTTCTCCCTCTCCCTCTCTCCCTCTCTCCCTCTCTCCCTCTCTCCCTCTCTCCCTCTCACTCTTTCCTTCCCCCCCTCTCCTTTCCTCCCTCCATCCCTCTCTCCTAAAGCAGTACCAGGGATTAACTCAAGGCCTCATACATGCTAGTCAAGTGCTCTACCAGTGAGCTACAACTCTATGCCTAGCCCTACTTCTTATTCTTTTTGGTACTTGGGATCAAACTCAGGTCCTTGCGCTTGCACAGCAGGCAGCGAAACCACTGAGCTAAATCCCTAACCCCTTACTTCTTATTCTTAATCACACAGGCAAGGAGCTTACCAAGAAACCATGCTCTGTTGTACAGTAAAACAGAGGACTAAGTGTGGTTATAAAGCTTTAGCTATAGCTGATGTCTGCATTTTTTGCTGCCTCAACATGAATAAAGAATATACAGTCATAGTACCTCTCACTGCAGTAATGGCTGTATGAGAAGAGATTGTCAAAGAGAGAAAGAATATGTAGAAATAAGAAACTTGAGAAAACTATAATTTTCTGCCTTAAGAAAAAGTGCATTTCCCCCCAGCTCCTTTGAGCATCACTTATGACTAAGTGGTATTAATAAATACATCCTTTTGGGCCAATACATGCCATCTTTTCTTTCAGGTCTTTATCAGTCCTCTGCTTAGGATGAAGCTCTGCTATCTATATGTGTTTTAATATTGTGTTTAAGCATAAGCTCCCTGAGAGACTAGAAATCATATCTAGGTCTTTGTATTTCTCTGCAGCACCTAGCCCTGTGTCTTACAAATGTCTTTTACAAGTTTGTATTAAATTAAGTACTTCGGGATATTATTGCAAATTTAAAAATAATTCTGCCTAAAACAGGAGTTGTGGCCAGGCATGGTGCTACATGCCCATAGTACCAGCACTTGGGAGGCTGAGGCAGGAGGATCGCCATGAGTTTGAGGCCAGCCTGGGCTACATAATGAGTTCAAGGCCAGCCTGAACTACAAAGTGAGACCCTGTCTCTAAATAAATAAGTAAATAAAACAAAAGTTGATTTACAGAATTCTTTGGATTGGGTATTGCCGTGATTGGGTATTAATTCCTTAGACATAAAATATTCATTTTTATTCAACCCAAAAAAGAAATTATGAGAGAATTATTTTTCCATTGATTGTCTCACATCACATCCAAATTCATCTAGATTATAATAGATAATAATATTATTATATTATAATTTTTTTTTTCCATGTTATTTTAAGATGAGATCTTACTATCTTGCCCAGGATGGTCTTAAACTCCTGGGCTCAAGTGATACTCCTCCTTCAGCCTTCTGAGTAGCTAGGACTGCAAGTATGTGGCAGCACACCTGGATCATCTAATTTTTTAAAATTTATTTTTATTCCTTTATCCCCCATATGCCTTTTAAAAATTGAATTAATTGATACTTCTGTGGGTTGACAAATAAAGAACATTTTTATTCAGTTGTTCAGGGTAGAGTGATGAATTGACTGTTAGATTATAGATTTGAATTGGCATTTAATTATAGTATGTGTGGTGAAGTGAAAAACATTCATGGCTTGCCAGATGTGGTGGCGCACACCTGATATGGTCAGTACTCTGGAATGCTGAGGGAGGAGGATCACTAGTTAGGTTTTGTTTGTTTTTTTTTTCACTTTATTAAATTCTTTTATTGGTACATTGTAGGTATACAACACAATTACATTTCTCATTGGGAATTTTACCTTTACATAATGCATCTTGGTTCTTATTTTTTCCCCATTCCTAGCTCTCCCTTCATTCCCTCCAACTAGTTAGGTTTATATAACTCTTTTCCTCTCCAAAGATCCTAATCATTATTATCTGAATAATGTATTAGCTTGTGGAAAGATATTAACATTTTCATTATTTTTCTTAGATGATTCATTAATATTATTTTTCACTGAAATCTTCATATTTTTTAAGGTTTAAAATGATTTTTATTTGAGTAAGACCAAAATAATTGATTGATAGTATGGGGTTTTTTTGTTTTTGTTGTTGTTTGTTTGTTTTACTTTTTTTTAGGGATTTGTTTTTCTAGGAAGTATTTTTATAATAATAGTTTAGTTTAGCTCTACAGAATATAGTTCTGTAAATATGATGCTTTGGGGAAAAAAACAATACAAAAAGTTATTTGCCTCAGTCTTACAACTAGAGAATGCTGGTTTATCATTTAGAGTCTTCTCCCAGATGAGACTCTGCTACTGGAAGCCTCTTTAGAGACAAGTCACCTAACAGTGTTTTAATAATTTTGCACATATTTGCTTTTACTTCATTAGGATACCAGGTTATAATTCAAAGTTTTTACTTTGGGGCTATTGATAGATTTATACTTGCTGGATTGCCGTACATTGTTGTAGACTATTTCAGGTAGGCAGCTAATATGAAAATAAGGAAAACAACAATTTCTAATCCTTTTCTTAATTCTTCTCTTTGTCTTTTGGTTTTAGGTAATGGATGATGAATCAGATGAAAAAGAAGCAAACTCATCTTAAAATAATCTGGATTCTCTTTGGGCATAACAGTTGGACTTACAATATATACTAAGCTTTTATTAATATGCTGAGGAACTTGAGGAATAATAAAAATTCCCTTTCCTTAGAGAATAATATGTAAATATTGCATGTTTGCTTTACCTCATGAGTTATTTATAACTTCCTGAGTCATCTTCTGTACACATGGATTTTATCCAGGGATATTTTTATTTTTGTTCCTCATTTCTCATGGTGTTTTCTTTGCATAGTTCTTGAAGCCATTTAAAATACATTTTCTTTCATTTACTTTCTTTATTTTTTATATAGAAGTTAATAGGTAGAATGTTTTTTAAAATATTCTAAAACTGCTTAGCTTTTTGTGAGATGTCTGAAACCATTTTTACTGAAGGTTTTAGCTTATTTAAAAACAAAACAAAAAGCAAATTCTTGGTTTCTGGCTAGTAGCCCCCATTGTAAATAGCACATAACTTCTCACTGAAAGACTAAACTTTTAATTTAGAATAATAAAAAATCATAATGCTAGGGGATGGGGATATAGCTCAGTGGTACAGCACTTGTCTGGCATATCTGAAGACTCAGTTCAATCTCCAGCACCAGAAAAAAGATTCTTAATTTCAAAAACTCAAGGACTGTGTTCCAGATAGACAAAATAGTATTAGCGTTCTCTCACTTTTCTATAGTAATTTACAGAAATATAAGGAGGGAAAGATGAAGAATAGCAGTGATAACTTGCATCTCTGGAATTCTAGCCACAAAAGTACAGAAATTAAGATAGAAACAGGAAAAGCCCTCACAGTTGTGAATGATGGGAATTGAAGTTTTTATTTTTGTCTTCTCACAGAGCCAGACAATGGGATGGGTTGGGGAATTCATTCCCTGAGCTATTGTAGATGAAGACAGGCAAGAGACCAGGAATTACTTGATAAGCTAGGCACCTTAACCTGTCCTCTTCTTTTTTTTTTAGCTGAAAATAAAACAAGTTTATTAAAACTCAAATTATAAATCAAATATCCATGAGCCCATATCTATGCAACCAAAGTTATTTAAAAACAAAGTGGAGAGAAGACATAACAATTGCAAATAATCTTTGTAAAAACACCCGAGGTTCCTCCCAGTACCTGACAACCAGAACACCACGTGCCAGACATGGACAGGCTGGGAAAGACACCCTTTCCTTATTACCCATGACCCTATGCCTAGGCATTTCACCAAGAAAAATCAAGGTTGTGTTCTCACAGAAACCTGCTTCATTCACAGCTTCTGGATACCAAGGTCATCTCATTTTTCTTGAGCAAGTTTGTTATTGTTTTTTGTTTTGTTTTTTTTGGTACCGGGTATCAAACTCAGGTCCTTGTGCTTGCACAGCAGGCGGTGAAACCACTGAGCTAAATCCCTGGCCCAAAATTTTTTTTTTTTTTTTTTTGGTACTGGGGATCGAACTCAGGACCTTGCGCTTCTGAGGCAGGTGGCGGAACCACTGAGCTAAGTCCCCGGCCCAGTTTGTTATTGTTTTGGAGTTGCTCTGGGAATAACACTAGGTCTCCTAATCATTTCACAGTGGGCTATGGTTACCATCAAGATTCCATTCATTTAGATCTGATGTAAAATACAGAAGCCTTGTCTCTTTAAGTTTTTTCAAGAGTTGTCTTCATGCTTGCTTATTGGGTTGAGCCTGTGTCAGGTGAGACTTTCTGAGCTTCCTAGATCTATTTTTCATGAATTTGTGACATTTTTATACCATGCTTTTCCTTATAAATTTTGCTTCTCACCTCTTTTTAGTCCTTCCCATTCCAGTGATAAAGAAGTTAAAACTTCGTTTTTTTGGTACTGGGGATTGAACTCAGGTCCTTGCACTTGCACAGCAGGTGGCAAAACCACTGAGCTAAATCCCTGGCCCCAGAAGGTAAAACTTCTGATGTAGTTTTACATGTCTCTGAGACTCTTACTTTTTTTGTTCTCTTTTCTTTTTCTTTTCTTTTGATTGTCATTTACTGGCCTACAAGTTCTCTGACTCTTGTTATTTCTCTGATGAGAACTTACTTCTTTCTATTAATTTCAAGAGTATTTGCCTTTCTTTTTTGAGAATGGTTATAATAGATGCTTTCCATGATCCTTCCTTTGTGTGGGTTATTTCAGGAATAGATGTCCCTCTCCTTGAGAATTGGTCAGATTTTCCTGATTTTTGGTATGTTTTGTTGTGTAATTTTGGGTAGTGTCCTGGGCAGTTTGCTGGTTGTTTTGTGAGGCTCTGGTTCCTATTATCATCCTCAGGAGAGGACTCAGTTTCCATTTTCTCTCATCTTGCTATGGGTCAACACAGCAGGGTCAGACTACTCACTGCATCCTGCCATCATTGCTTTGGGATGCTCCTCGGCTCTCCCACCCATCAGTTTTTCTGCCAACGAGTGGTGATTTTCATTGTCGCCACTTCCTGAAGCCTTTGCTCTGCCGCTTTGGTTTTGTTCTGTGCACACATCTCAGCATGAGTCTGGGACTTGTACTGGCTCCTACATGGACTTGAATAATCCCTTTCTCCAGCTGTCTTTTTGGAATTCTATCTAGGTCTTTCCCCTGATAAGGGCCCTCACCCTCCCACACGATAGGTCAACTCTCAGGCAAACAACAGAAAAAGAGCAAAAACATGGCAGCCATTCCCTTCACTCCCTGCAGATGATAGAAGCCTTGTTAGCTGTTCCTTTGTAGAGATAGGTGATGTGTTAGCATTTTAGGTCCCTCTGCCACTGCTGAGGCTTCTCCTGCATTGTTTTTCAAGAAGAGGAAAGTGATTCAAATGCAAGACAGCCCATCCCCATGGAGTTCCCTAGGAAACCCCCCCAAAGGCAAAATCATGAAAGTGAGAAGCCAAAACAAGGTGAAAGGTGAGGGAGGAGCATTCTAGGTATAAGAAGCAGTGCAGTCAGAATCGAAGGTGTGAAATGTATTTGGGAACTGCAAGAAGCTTAAGTGTGGCTTAACTGTTAAAGTGGAAATGCTGAGCTGGAAACAGTACAGAAGTAGCAGTGGGCAATATAAAGAATGCTGCAGAAAACTCCTGGCCGCTTACATACACTGCCATGCTGGGAGAGTCCCTCTTAATCATTATGGTAATAACATGCCCAAGGAAGGTAGGTTCCATCTCAATACAAGGGAATGTTATAACAAGTCTAAACCAGACATTGTAACCCCATTTGTCTTTGCCAATCATTAGTCTATGGGTAGGTGTTTGACCCAGCCTTAGCCAGTGAACCATCAGAGGAAGTCTTGTTTAATTCTGGAAAAATTCACTAACCTGAAAGGATGGGAAAGAGAAGGGAGGGGACAGAATATCATTCCTTTCCTTCCTTCCTGCTCAGTACACCATGAGGTGAGATACCCAAAGCAATGAAATCACCTTGTAATCCTAACAAAACAGACTAAAAACAGTACTGAGAATGGCAGGGAGGAGAGAAAGGGCCTGGATCCTTGAGGACACTGTTATTTTACAGTCAACTCTGGAACCACCCACTTTCAAAGTCTGTATCATGTCAGATAAATGGTTTTCTTTTTTGGCACTATTATCAGATACTCTGTAATGTGAAGCTGATTGTATTCTAACATATAAAGAGACTGGTAAATTATAGAGGACTTGGAAAGTGATTTTATTGCATTTTATTTTTGGCAAACTACCAAATTTTAATCTTAACATGAAACAAAGAACATGTATTTTTTAGTTAATTAAACCATTTGTTTAATCAGTGATTGATTTATGAGGTATAATTTAATTAGGTAATAGCTTTTATTTTTGAATGTTTACATTACACTTAATTTCCCCCATATGATGCCAAAGAAAGCAATAATTCATTATTAATCACATTTAGTTAAAAATAGAAATTAACTCCCTAAAATGTATAAAATATTTTTACATAAAAAATTCTTAAAAATGCTTTATAAAGAGGACTTCTAATAAATGTTGGCAACTAAGATTATTGGTCAAGAATAAGCCAGACACTTGGAAGATTTTTGACTAACCAAAATTAGGGATGAAATATAGAATAATAGATAACAGGAGAGTAAAATATAAGAATAGTAAACTTTCACTGAGCATTTACTATGTGACAAACACTGCTTAAGCACCTTAAATGTAAAAGTAATCCTATGAGATAAGTAACTATTGTTTCTATTTTTATAAGCAGGACAATAGAGACACAAGGCAGAGAGGCACATTTTACATTGGCATGTATCTTAAGTGAAAAAGCCTGAACATGAACGCTGGCATTCTGTCTACAGAGCCTATGCACATTGCTCCTATACTATTCTGCCTATGGGTGTTTGGCCCACATGCCCCTCTTGAGTATTCCTGTCCCAGAGGAGGGAGATAATTTCTGTGACTTCATAGGTGCTTCCTAGTGGGCAAGACTCTTCCATCTCTTATTTAATGCAGACCCAAATTAAGCAAATGCAGTGGTTTGTGCATGTTTGTCCTTTTTTTGTTGTTGTACTGGGGATCGAACTTGGGTCCTTGTGCTTGTTAGGCAGGTGGTGGAACCACTGAGCTAAATCCCCGGCCCTGTTTGTCCATTTTTAATGGAATCTACAGCTCTTTTGGAATCTACAGCTGGGAATCTACAGCTCTTTTGGAAAACTCCATTTTGTACTCCATTCCCCCACATCAGAGTTACCCATGATAACTTCAGAGGGTTATATAGCCATCCAGAAGGACCTTTTACATCCCCTGAAAGAAAATCCAGAAAATAATACATTTTCTGTCTTCTCACATCTTTAATGATCTTTCAGTTCTAGGCCACTCCAACCCCTTGTGCTGGCTCTAAGCACATCCTAAGGACAGAAATAGTAGCACAAAGATGGGACCAGTTAATCTCATGGTTTCTAATTTGTTAACTTTCTTGGCAGTAGGACGAATTTCTTTTTAGCAGATCTTGGAAACTCGGCTCCAGCTACTTATTGGTAAAATTTGGAGGGAACCTAGAGAGGAGTTTTAGGAAGACAGTATTACTTCTAATTGGATTCAGCCTCCTTTGTCCTCAAAGGATGAGAGGCAGTCAAGCCCATGATCACCCGATGTAGTAAATATCTTTTTGTGCCTTCTTGGTCTTCCTTTCTCATTTTTTTAGCAGCACTTTCT